TGCTCTATGAGTGGACAATTCAGGAATGTAAGTTGCGTTTTATATGGCCATTCACCAACAGTCACAATCCATTTCTTATACTTGGCTTTCACACAAGCAAGTTCCTGAGTTCTTCCAGCTGCCATCATAATTATTTTCTCAAATCTCTTTCAGGAGTTCCGACGTGTTTTTTTGCCGTCATCATTCTCATGCTGTCCAAATCGATTACCACAACAGACAGGCGATCGTTTCAAGAAAATGTCATATTTGAGACCATCGGATGGTACCAACGGTAACTTGTCGACTGCTGAACGCAGTATAACGATGACGCTAGTTGGATCGGCTGCTTCAATACGTAAAGCACCTCAACAAAACAGTCACAGCAATGCTCATAGCCAAAACAATCACCATATTAAGAACGACCGAAATGATTATCTGTCTCCATCTATATGGTAAGCGCCAGTCGTGTTCTCGCAACCAAACACGAAATAAACTTTTAAAATTGCTGCGATTCAAATTTTGTGATGATTTCCCCAAAAAGAAATATTCGAAACGTTGGTGTGCATCGGTGTTTATATAGCTATGCTAGCATTTATATCCATGGTATCTAGTTATGGGATCCGACCGACAATCGGTCGGAAAACCCCGATAATTTCGGTCGGAATTCCGAAGGCTGGATTCCAAGTGAACAATTTAGAAAGTCGGTCGGAATCCCAACTGTCGGAATGACGAAATGCCAACTCGGTCGGATTTTGATCAGCCGAAATTTCGCTCGGAGCCGATCACTTAAAGAATCCCATCAACTGAAACAATAGCAAAAACATTCCTAATGACACTAGAGTATTGACAGCAGGATATTTCACGTTCAATTGTATCGTAGTCGCATGTTACAAATAGCCCATTAGCTCAATCGTTACAATAGCTCAATCGTTACAATCAAATAGCCCATTTCATGTTTTAGATAAGACATACTTAAGTTAAGTGGTAGTTTTGAAATTTCTTATAAGTTAAACTGCACAGTAATTGCAATGATCGAAGTGAGCAAATAACAAGTCGGATATATTTATGGGCTGAAATAACGCATTCATCGTATATTTTGAGACCATTTTAATTACATGGAAAAATACGAAATTTAATCCCATCAAATGATCAATTTTCTTCGGTTGTTTTCTTCAGTATCATAACACTTTTCCAGCAAAACTTCATTTAATTGGATTCGATTTTTTTCTGTACGCACGAAATGAGATAATGAGACACAGCAGCGTAAACAGAATTTCTATAGTGAGCCAAGCATTAATCCTTCACTCATTTCCTTTCCTAGTCAAATGATGGTTAATTGAATAGACGCTTATTCGTTCCGCTCTTAAATTGAAATTTCTCTCCAAAATGGAAAGAATCCAGCAAAAAAGTTCAGTTTTTCAGCAATTCCTTTTTCCATTACCATTCTGTAATTGATTAATTCAAATTCCAGTAGGAATTCATTATCCGAAATGGCCACCACGATCGCGTCATCATGCGATTCCAGTGAACTTTTATGCGCCTCTTCATCAAATCGTCGACCG